AGTTATGACCTAGGCCTCTGGCTAATACTGTGTGATGCCATTCGGGCTTAGCAATGCTCCAGCAACATGTGAGAGGCTGATGGAAAGAGTACTGGAAGGCCTACAATGGAGGATAGCCCTAGATGATGTCATTGTGTTTGCAACAATGTTTGATGAAGAAATGTCCCAGTTAGAGGAAGTATTCAAGCGTTTGAAAGCAGCAAACCTCAAACTCTATCCCAAGAAATGTTACTTGTTCCAGAAAGAGGTGCTTTACTTGGGTCACATTGTAAGTGAACATGGTGTGCGAACTGATCCTGAGAAGGTGAAAGCAGTGTGTGATTGGCCAACACCAGACAATGTGGGATAGTTAAGAAGTTTCTTGGGACTCTGTACCTATTACCGGAAGTTTGTAAAAGACTTTGAAACTATAGCTGCTCCACTACATGATTTGACTAAAAAAGGCCAGAAGTTCGAATGGACAGTTTCTTGCCAGCATGCTTTCAATACATTGCAAGAAAAATTGGCCTCATCTCCACTTTTAAAGCTTCCAAATCTCTCACTGCCGTACATACTGGATTGTGATGCTAGTAATGTCGGAATTGGAGGAGTGTTGTCTCAGAAAGTGGGCGAAAACGAACAGTGGTGGCATACTTTCATTGGGGTCCTGAGTAGACTGTTACTGTGTAACATGGAGGGAACTCCTTGCTATTGTAAAGAGTCTGACATATTCCCATCCTTACCTCATTGGAGCCAGGTTTACCATCAGGACCGACCATGCTGCATTACACTGGTTAAGGTCAGAGGGACAACTGGCACGTTAGATTGGAAAGATAGACCAGTAAAACTATGATATTGAATATAGAGAAGGAAAATTTCATCGAAATGCCGACGGACCTGTGACAAAGAACTATTGGGCACAATGGGACCAGTTGAAGCTTGAAGACGGTATTCTTGTCAGGAGGTGGGAGAGTGCAGATGTGAAAGTGACGACCTGGCAAACAGTTATACCGAGAAAGTTACGGAAAGTTGTGCTGCATCAATCCCATGACAGTTTAACAGGAGGACATCTTGGAGTTAAGAAGACATTGAGTCACCTACGACACAGATTTTACTGGATAGGTATGAGACAAGATGTGAAAGAATGGTGCAGAACATGCAGTACATGTTGTGCTAAAAGGGGACCCAAGCATAAGGGACGTGCTCCAATGAAGTTATATCAAGTTGGTGCACTAATGGAAAGAGTAGCCATTAACATTGATGGTCCTTTACCCCAAATTTGTGTGGTGATGGATTATTTCACCAAGTGGCCAGAGGCATATGCAATACCAAATCAGGAAGCTACAACTGTAGCTTCGGCTATTTGTGATTTCTTCTTCAGATTTGGTATGCCATACGAACTGCATTCTGATCAAAGCCGTAACTTTGAATCAGCTGTGCTCCATGAATTTTGCAAGTTGTTTGGCATACGAAAGACCAGGACAACACCACTTCACTCACAGTCTGATGATATGGTAGAAAAGTATAATTGGACATTGGACAGGAATTGGCAAAGTTTTGTAATATCCACCAAGATGACTGGGATGTCTTACTTCCTCCACCGTGGATGGCTTATAGAACAGCAGAGCATGAAACCACTGGATACACTCCAGCAAAGCTGTTGTATAGTCGGGAACTTCGGTTGCCAGTGGACCTTATAATAGGATGCCCACCTTAAGAAGAGTTGCCTAAAAATGTGTTATCTGAAAGGACGGATGATATTCACCATCAAGTGCATTCAAACTTGAAAACGTCAGCTGATGCCATGAAGCTGTGTTATGATAAGAGATCTACTAAAGTCACATTTGTTCCAGGAGACAAGGTGTGGTTGTACAATCCCAGGAAGACCAAAGGTAAGTGTCCTAAGTTGTCTTTTCCATGGGAAGGCCCATATGACATAGTGGATCGTCTCTCAGACGTGACTTTACAAATAAAATGTGGTCGGCGAGATAAGCCAAAGGTGGTACATGCCAAAAGGCTTTCGAATCATCACGGTCCAGGACATTTCAGTTGGAATGAAGTGAACAATGGATCAAATGACGCTGCTGAAG